AATGACCAAGTATGTCTCCTGGTCTGAACCCAATCCAACACCTGTGGGGAATTCTGAAGCAGCAAGTTGAGCATCAGTCTCCATCCAGCATCCAGGCTTTAAAAGACGTTCTTGAAGAATGGAGAAAGATAGATGTTGCAACATGTCGCCAACTTGTTCGTTCCATGCCTAGAAGACTTGGTGCTGTCCTTGAAAATCACAGTTGTCCTACAAAGCACTAGATGTAGTCGTTTCTGTTGTGGGGTGTTTTTACTTTAGCTTCAACCAGTTTTAATAAAACTAAATATTTTGTGATCTAAGTTTTATTATTAACCTTAACTTCATGTTATGGAGTTAAACAAGCGTTCAGTAAGAGCCAGCCTTGGGAACATTCTGGAAATTGTACTTTTGTTCATGAGCTACTGATTAAATTCATACTTTTTAAAGGAGGTGTACTCATTTATGCTGGGCACTGTATTCATGTACACAACAAAACACATACACACACACACACACACACACACACACACACACATGCACACGCGCACACACATGCACACGCGCACACACACACACGCACGCACATGTGCGCGCGCGCACACACACACACACACACACACAGTTTCAGATGTCCTTAAACCAGGCTGTAAAAAGTTACTCAAAAATTCTGCAGAACTTAAACATTCTACAAACCACAAGTTTGGGTCAAGCAAACACCAGCTGATGCTTCCTGACTGATTATTAACTCAAAGACCATCTGAGAGAGGAGGGGTCTTTGTCGTCGATAACTATCTAACATGATTCATTGTTACTAGCAGTTAGTGGGCAGGTCAGGGGTCTGCAAGCTGTGGCTCCTGGTCCACATCCTGTAACTTTGACTGGTCGGCCTGAGAGCTCTGTTAGTCTTGGTTAGCAGTCAGAGAAGTCTGATGATCTGTGTGGCTGGAGAGGTGAGGGTAGCTGGCATTTGTTTGGTCACTTGCTCCATAATTAAGGAGTTCTTCAAATTGAAGAGAAAGAGAATCATTTCCATTACAGCAGAGTCAATGTCATTTAGTTTTTCTATAAACACCTGCTTTTAATACAAATCTGTGACTAGCAGCGTTTTATGGTGAGAGATAATGCTGACAGGCTGCAGACCCCTGAGATCAGAGCAGTTTAATGGCTGCCCTGCGTGTTCGCACCATGTGTAACAGATCCACCCGTTAGGACAGAAGAATAACCTGCGTCTCCGAGCCCGTAGGCTCATCTTTACAGTCCAACATCCAAGAGTTCAGTGTGTCCGACTAATGCAGCAACACAACAGCATCGTCATACTGGGAAAGCACTCCGGTTGTGTGGTTCTGGTTCTGACCAGTTAGCAGCACCAGTAAGTAAAACGTGAAAGGCCAGCGGGTGGTTGGAGTGGTTGGATTCAGACGAGGCAAAAGTCTGTTTATGTTACTCACCGAGACTAAAGAGCCTAAATAATGTGCAAACATTACTCACTCATCAGGTAAAAACGCATGAAAAGTGACTTTGATCTGAAACATCATCGGGTGATGAGTCTGAGGAGACGGGCGGGTCCAGCACTACCACTAACAGACAGGCCTAACCGTCGTCTACCACACCATGAGAATCATTCAGCAGTTTTCCCGTCATTCAGTCACAATTAAACTAGATTTTCTCCCTTCGTCCGACTGACCAGAGTAACCACGTCTCTGTAGCTGTTCACAACATTCTCTTCAAAACATCAACAACGTACTGATATGGTGGTCTGATTCGGCTAACAGGAAACAAAACAGTTTGTCTGGTGGAAATCTGTTCAGGGGCAAAGGTTTGAAAACGTGTCCCAAAAATGTCACCGTTAAGCCAACAGCTCGTCCGTTATGAAACACGAAGGTGGATGGATGAGCTTTACTTCCTCACACGTTCCCTTCAGTCTCATCACGTTGAAGAAAAATCTGCATTAGATTAGATTTAAGTTTAATTTAGTCTTACATGATGAATTACTTGTCCAGAAGCACTGAGGGTGTTCTGAGGCTCTAGCGTCTCAGAGTCTCTCTCTCTCTCTCTCCTATTGGGCAATCAACAAAAATAGTTTTTACTGGTTTTCCTGTGAGAGTCCATTGTTAGTAGTTAGAGACAGAGGACCTGTCAGTGATTCTCCTCTCTGATTGGAGGGAGAGCAGAGTGGGATGATGGTCGAGAACTCAGGTTCTCTCTGCCCTCAATACGCATCCTTTGGATGTAAGACTGAGTCAGAGGCTCCAGGTCTCAGATCAGTTTCTCCTCTAGAAAAGATGCTGAGCTCCAGGCCTCAGATCAGCCTCTCCTCTGGAGGCACCTTGAGGACGCTGCCCATTTCCAACCTGGCACCAGCGACCTCCTGGGAGCTGGGGCTGTACGTTCCCTCCGACTGACGCTTCTTTCTTGCCGTCATGATGAGGAAAAACATTGAGAGGATGGCGAGGAGCACACACAGAGTGGTCAGAGGGATGGTCACCGCCAGCCAGGAAACTCGCTCCCTATGCTCCCCTTTCTGCAATGACATCAGGAAGTATTAAGGTGAAAAAAATCGTTCAATCTGAAAGTGTTTTATAGAAGTTTAAGTTCACTTTTGACAATAATTTGGAAACACCTGATCCCAAATCGTCCCTCGTTAATAAGGAACAACTTAGGAGGTAGTGAGTAATGAACCAGGGACTAACGGGTAGTTAACAAGTACTTACTGGTAAAAGCACCTTCCAGTCTTATTCATGAGTAGTTATCTAAAGCAACTTTTACAAAACAGTGTTGTCATTTTGCCACAACACTAGGGCAGCATCAGGGAGCTTTAGGTAATCTGTAAGTGGTCAGATTGTTGAGGCAATGTGGCGCAGTTGGCCCTTTTTTTTTTACAAATCATCAGCAATGGCGGCATAACGGGGGTATGGGGGCCTCCGTTTACCTTGGACATAACTTGCTTTGTATTGCGATCAAAGCTCAATAATTTTTTTGACAAGCCACTCCTACAGGCGTCTGTCCTCCACAGGTCTCTGGTGATCTGACCTCCAGCTCTTACGGAGGGAAGCTCCTGGAGCGCTGCAGTGCTCCAGTTTGTTGTTTCAGCTGATTTTGTTCAAAAATCAAAACTTATGGCCCGTGCTTACTTTCACTTTCAATATTCATGTAGTTGCCTTCCGGAGCTCGGCAGTAACTCCCCACGTGATCCTGACACCTCCCTCTGTTGTGCCAAGGCGCAATCGCCATTTATGAGACAAATACCACAATATTACTACCAACAGAGGAGGAACGAATGCCACAAGGCACGTTTAAACGACACACTGTTGCGGTAATATTACGTCAATTTCCCAGCATGGTGTTTCTTGTAAAAAGGTTTCCGATAGATACGATTTTTTTTGTGCTTAGAAGTGGTTTAGCACCAGTGGCAGCTCGCCCATGGGGGGGGGGGGCTAGGGCGCCGCCCCACCAGTCTCACAGGGAGGGGAGGAAGAAGATAGAAATCATAAAACAAAAAAAACATGAAAACTAAGAGTAGACTGGTTAGATTTACGTTTAGGGGTTAGGCACAGTCACCAAAATGAATGGAAGTCAATGATGGGCCTCACAACAAATGCTAGACTAGTGTGTGTGTGTGTGTGTGTGTGTGTGTGTGTGTGTGTGTGTGTGTGTGTGTGTGTGTGTGTGTGTGTGTGTGTGTGTGTGTGTGTGTGTGTGTGTGTGTGTGTGTGTGTGTGAATGAATGGAACTGCGCAGTTTCTACAATAAGAACTCCAGCCATTCTCATCAATCCTGAGTTTTTGAAAACTATAATTTTAAACATGATTGATCCATCTATCCATTCTCTTTCAATTTTCCGAGGTCTGGTGGCAGGGGCAGCAGACTAAGCATAGAGGCCCAGACTTTCCTCTCCCCAGGCACTTGGGCCAGATACTCCAGGGGAAATCCAAGGCGTTCCCTGGTCAGCCAAGTTTATAGTCCCTCCAGCGATTCCTGATTCAAGGTTGTTCCTTTTGGTCTCCTCCCGGCGGGACATGCCGTGATAAACTCACCAGGGATGCATCCTGACCAGATGTCTAAGCCACTTCAACTGGGGCCTCTCAATCAACTACAAGTCTCTATTGGATGACTAATCTTCTCACCATATTTCTAAGAGAGAGCCCAGACACCCTGCGGAGAAAACTCATTTTGGCCACTCGTATCTGTGAGCTCATTCTCTCATTTATCTTCTTCCGGCACTCGCAGAGTACAGACGCTTCTGCTTTTCTCCCTTATCTTTTTTTCTCAAGGCTCTTTGTCCTGTCTGCCTACAGAGTACTTCTCTGCATTTCTTCTGGAAATCCCTATTTATTAGAAATGGATTTAATTAATTGGTCATTCAACGCGATTGATAAGATCTTTTCTATGATAAGAACGGAGGAGGGGGCTCCCACTTGCCCTCAAGGGACACATGCAGCGGGATATGCGCTCGATTCCTGGAAGGTCTGGAGGATCGTATGCCTCTCTCAGTTGTCCATTGAGGATGTCGAAGACATGTGGATATTTGGCTTGATGATCACTGGATTTATTCTGATTGGAGTGGGAGGATATCTGGTTTTCTGGAAATTTGGGGAGACGGGAGCGATTGGAGTGTGACCCGCACCCACGGAAAGCTCCGCCCGGGCGGTGGCCTCACAGACTGGGACGTTACTCAAGGTGAATCGTAAGCTGGACAATGTCCTTGCTGCATTACCGGTATTAGTGCGCAAAATGGATGTCATCTCGGAGAGGGTCACCGGGGATGATTAGAACCTAAATTGGCTTCACTGGAGGATTGAATGATCAATACAGACTTCAAGGCAGTGAGGAAAATGATCTCTGCCTGACCCAAACAAAGTCTTGTTATCCAAATCTGACGCCAAGACAGACTTGAGCTGCTAACAACAACCCCCATGAAGGAAGGAATGCAGACAGATGCTGTGAAAACCCGTCCTACCCCCTGCTTTTAGATTGTGGACTTCTGCCTAGCGAGGTCATCAACCTGCAGGAACTCAAATGTGCTATGCGCTCCTCCCAAGATCTCTCTCCCTCCTGTGGATACAGCTGGCTGAGCGCCACACAGGGCTGCTCGCGCTGGGGAAAGAGGATACAACCCCCCCCACGCCTCCCTATCGGAGTCTCATGTTGTGAACTGTGATGTTCGTGCTTATATGTTTGAGGCGGTTTTTTGCATAGTAAAGCTACGCCCTGCCGGGAGTAACTCTGGTATGCCTCTTTTTCCCTCCCCCAATTTATCCTCATGTAATTCCCTTTTCATCTATTAAGGTAGCGCGACTCGTGTTGCGAAGGACCACAGTCACCAATTCTTGTCATGTGTCTTGCCCATGTATGTCTGATCTCTGAATTGTGTGTACTGAAATTCAATTTCATTTCTCTGTATGTCTTGCACATGTGGTAGAATTGACAATAAAACTGACTTTGACTTTGACTTTGACTTCTTTTGGTCACTACCCAGAACTCGTGACTATAGGTGAGGGTATGAATGTGGATTGACCAGTAAATCAAGAGCTTTGCCTTCCAGCTCAGCTCTCTCTTCACCACAATAGACTTGTATAAACGCCTGCATCACTGTAGACACAGCACCAATCTGCTTTTCAATCTCCCATTCCATCTTTCCCTCACTTGTGAACAAGACCCCGAGATACTTAAACTCCTCCACTGGAGGCAGGACTTCATCCCTGAGCTGGAGAAGGCATTCTACCCTTTTCTGAATTAAGACTATGGTCTCAGATTTAGAGGAGTCGATTCTCATCCCATCTGCTTCATACTCGGCTGCGAACCGCTCCAGCAAAAGCAGAAACCTGATCTTTAGGCCACCAAAATAGATCCCCTCAACACCTTGACTACATCTATTCTCTTGAAAAAGATATGATCAGAATTGGTGGCAAAGGGCAGCCTTGGCAGAGTACAACTCTCTCTGGAAACAAACTTGAATTACTGTCAGCAATACCAACCAAGCTCTGACACCGGTTATACAGGGGCCTAACAGCCCATATCTAAGGGTCTGGCATACCATACTACTGAAGTACCCACCACAGAACCTCCCTTGGGATCCAGTCGAACACCTTCTCTATATCCACAAAACACATATAGATTTGTTGGGCGAATATCCATGCACCCTTGAGGACCCCCCCTAAGTGTTTAGAGCTGGTCCAGTGTTCCACGGCCAGGACAAAAATTACATTGCTCCTGGATCTGAGGTTCAACTATCCAATGTGCCATCCTCTCCAGAACCCCTGAATAGACTTCACTGCAGAGCCATGTCACCAACACAGCCCAGCAACACCAAGATCCTTAAGGAACTCTGGGCGGATCTCATCTGACCTCAAAATCTTAGTACTGAAGAGCTTTTTGACCACCTCAGTAACCTTGGCTCCAGAGATTAGCAAGCCCAACCCAAAGTGCCCAGTCTCTGCTTGCTCACTGGAAGACATGTCGGTGTGACTGAGGAGGTCTTTAAAGTACTCAGCCAATCGATCCACACTGTCCCCACTATAAACAGTGTTGGTAACACCCTTCTTTCCCCTCATGGGGTGCTGGATGGTGGACCAGGATCTCCTTGAAGCAATGTGGAAGACTTGCTCCATGGTCTCACCGAGCTCCTCGCACACATTTTTTGCCTCTGTGACCACTCAAGCCACATTTTGCTTGGGCTATCGTTACCTATCAGCTGCCTCTCGAGTCCCACAGGCCAAAAAAAGCCCTATAGGGCTCTTTCTTGAGCTTGACAGCATCCCTTACTGCCGGTGTCACCAGCGAATTTGCAGATTGCCATCATAACAGGCACCAACCACCAGTGTAGGGAAAGTTTGTCTAAAAAAATGAACTAGTTCAAAGCTCAGTTCATACATTTTAAAACAAACTAGTTTGTTTCTTAGTTCATAATAAAAAAAAATGAACTAAGTTCACTGTTCCAAAAACAAACTAGGTCATCTTTCTTTTTCTCTGATATATATATATATATATTAGGGGTGGGCCGTTATCGGCGGTAACGCGCTGCGGCAAAGCCAGACTCTTATCGCGCGATAAAAAAAATGATGCCGTTAATCTATTCTCAAAGTTGGGTTGGGATCTGGGTTGTCTATACTAAGCCTGATGACTTTCACATTGCGCGGATGGATACCTGGTTGGCGCGGATGGATACTCGGCGTGGATCATCGACATATAACGCGCGGATGTCTACGCGCGAAAGAGAACATCTTTAACGCCAGAGGAATCTTCAAACGTGACGCGCCGACATGGATGCACCTATGAAGCCGCTGGGTTTGCTCCAGGGAAAATTTATTTTTAAGAAGCTTCCCAATGGAAACCTTGACAAGACTAAAGTTGTTTGCACCTTGTGCAATGCGGAATTTGTTTACTGTAGAAGTTATTCCGGTCTCAAGTACCACCGAAACGCTAAGCATCCCTTAGCTAATTTGGAAGATGCTGGACCGCGTGTTGCGCAGGGGAAGAGTTTTCGTCAAACTACTATGTTTGAGTGCAACCGAGGCAAGCCCA